CCAACTGGAAACTTTGGGGTACCCAGTACAGTCACAGAACACAGCTTTTCTGACCTTAACAACTAGTCTGACATTCAGTTACAAACTGATTTACTCAGATCAACTTCTAAACCCTGGCTATGCAAGGTGAGCTCCAGGGATCAGCAACGTCTTGGCATCACCTGGGAGCCTGTTATAAATGAGGAGTCTCAGGCCCCACACCAAACCTACTGAATCAGAAACTGCACGTTAGCAAGATGCTCCGTGTGATCTGAATGCACATTCAAGATCAAAAAGCACTGTTCTAGAACCACCTATGGAGCTTTTTTAAAAGTATGAGTTTCCAGGGGCACCTGGGTGGCTTAGTCGGTTAAGCGTCCGACTTTTGCTCGGGTCATGATCTCGCGGTTCGTGGGTTCGAGCCCCGCGTCGGGCTCTGTGCTGACTGCCAGCTCAGAGCCTGGAGCCTGTTTCTGTCTGTGACTCCCTCTCTCTCTGACCCTCCCCTGCTCACGCTGTCTCTCTCTCTCTCCTAGAAATAAAAATAAAACTTTAAAAAAAAAAGTATGAATTTCCAGGAACTAGAATCCAAAATTATAGAGAAAGGAGTGAAGGAATAGTGGGAAGTCCAAATACGTGTATTTTTTTTAACAAGTTTTCTTGTGGTCTATCCTCAAGAAACCTCAAGTCCTTTCTGGAAAGAATCAAAGATCAACTTTGTTTTGTCAACAGCTGTCCCTGTAGCCGACAGCTCCCTCCTCCCTAGAGGCAGTGTTGATGACTTCATACAGACCCTTTCTTGGGCTGAGCTCCAAAATGTAGTAAATGAATGGAACAATTCTGCTTACCGGTTTCCCCCTCTGCCCCAATCTTCTGCCCCCAATTCATAGGGAGGTTTAGACTAGTGTCTCCATATCAACAGTAAAACTCCTCTATTTTCTTTTCTCCTGACCCACTGCCTTAAACTGGCAGGCAGGCAGGCAGAAAGGCAGGCAGGAAGGAAGGAAAGACAGATGGAAAGTTGGAAGGAAGAAAGAAATGAAGAAGGGAGAGAACAAATCAACATGTGTTATACACCTACTGTGTACCAGACCCACCCCATCCATCCCCCAAGACAGTTTACATATATTTCTCATTTAACACACATTAAAATATGTAAGATTTGTATCAATGCCCCAATTTTCAGAAGTGGAAATTAAAGTTCAGATAGGTTAAAACTCTCCCAAAGCCGGGTTCCTAAACAAGATCTAATACTAAAGTTCTGCTGCATTCTTTCTACTGCCCCTAACTTGCTTACATATAATATTACATAAATACGTATTTTCACTGAAATGTAATTCACATAAAATTCAGTTCAGTGGTTTTTAGTATATTCACACAATGATGAAAACTATTACAACTATCTAATTCCAGACTACTTCCAACACCCCAAAAAGAAACCCCAAACCAATTAGCAGTCAGTTCTCCCTCTCCTTGTCATTCCTCACCACCCCTCCTACCATCCACCCCCACCCTGTCCCTGGAAAATACTTGGTCCCAATCAGTTTGCCTATCCTGGATATTTCACATAAGTGCTATCATATGATACATGGTCTTTTGCATCTGGCTTCTTTCACTTTGCATCATGTTTTCAAGGCTCATCCATGTTGTAGCATCTATCAGTACTTCATTCCCATTTATATTTGGATAAAATTTCATTGTTGGACATATCATATTTTTGTATCTACTCTAGAGTTAATGGACACTTGAGTTGTTTCCCACCTTTTGGCTTTAGGAATAATGCTCCTATGAACACTCATGTCCAAGTTTTTGTGTGGACATATGTTTTGAATTCTCTTGAGTACATAACTAGGAATGGAGTTGTGGGTCATATAATAGTAACTCCATGTTGTTGTTTTTTTGTTGTTTTTTTTTTGAAGAATCACCAGACAGTTTTCCAAATTGGCTACATTCCCATCTGCAATGCAGAAGGGTTACAAAATTTCTATATCCTTGCTGACACTTGTTATGTCGTATAGCCATCCTGCTGGCTGTGAAGTGGTATCCCTTTGTGACTGTATTTGCATTTTCCTAATAACTAATGATGCTGAGCATCTTTTAACGAACTCTGGCTTTTGTGTAGATTCTTTGGAGAAAGTACTCATTGCCCATTTTTAAGTTGGGATACTTAAGTTTTAAGTGTTCTTTATATATTCTGGATACTAGGTGTGTATCAGATAGATGATTTGCAATATCTTGTCCCATTATTTGAGTTGTCTTTGCACTTTCTTGATGGTCTCCTTTGTAGAATGAAAGCTTGTAGTTTTGATGAAGTCCAATGTACCTGTTTTTCTTTGGTTGCTTATACTTAAGGCATTATATCCATTAAAATGTTGACTAATCCAAGGCCATGAAAAGTTTTACCTGTTTTGGGGAGGAGATGGTTGTATAGTTTAAACTCTTACATTTAAGTTTTTAATCCACCTTGAGCTAATTTTTTATACGGTATGAGTTAGGGGTTCAATTTCATTCTGTTGCAGGTGGATATCCAGTTGTTCCAGGACCTATTTGTTGAAAAGACTATTCTTTCTCCCATCAGATGGTCTTGGCACCCTTATCAAAAATCAGTTGATTATAAAGGTGTGGGTTTATTTCTGGACTATCAACTGTTTTCCATTGGTTTATATATGTCTACACTTATCCCAGTACAACATTATCTTGATGACTGTAGCTTAAATACTAAGTTTTGAAATTGTAGGTAGTTCAAGTCCAACTTTCCGTTATTGTTGTTTTTTCAAGATCATTTTGGCTCTTCTCGGTCCTGTGTTACAGTTTTCAGTATACAAATCTTACATTTATTCTGTTAAATTTATTCAGTATTTTTACTGAATATCTTCAAGTTTACTTTCTCTTGCTAGTTAAAATCTGTTAAGTCCTTCTACTGAAATTTTCATTTCAGTCACACTTTTCCACTGCAGAATTTCTGTTTGTTTTTTTAAAATAATTTTTTATGTCTTTATTAATATTCTTTATTTGGTGAGACATCATTCTCATACTTTCCTTTCACTCTTTAGACATGGTTTCTTTTACCTTTTGAACATATTTATAATACTTGAGATAACATCTTTGTCTACTAAGTCTAATATCTGGGCTTCCTCAAGGACAGTTTCTATTGGTTGGGAGGCATTTTTCCTATGTACTAACCATACTTTCTTGTTCCTTTGTATGTCTTATAATCTTTTGTTGAAAACTGGACATTTAAAAAATATACTGTAGTCATTTGGATATGTGATGCCCCTCCCTCTCAGGATTTGTTGTAGTTTCTATTGGTTTTTACTGTTTGTTACTACTGCTACTGTTGTCAGTTTAGTGACTTTTATAAATTAGTTCGGTGAGGTCTATCTTCTTTTCATCATTTTTTTTTCTTTTAGAGAGAGTGAGCAAGCAAGTGGGGGAGAGGGACAGAGGGAGAAATTGAGACAAAATCCAAGTAAGCTCCATAATCAACAGAGCTCAGCCCCTTCAGAGCCCAATGCAGGGCATGGTCCTGGGACCATGACCTGAGCTGAAAATGAGAGTCGAACGCTCAACCGACTGAGCCACCCAGGTTCCCCCTCTATCTTCTTTATCATGCGTGGCCACTGAAGTCTCTGCTCAGTTCACTTGGTGGTCAGCTGTTGAAACCTGAGAATTCTGATTTACAGGCAATTTCCAGATAGGTCACATAGGGACAATTCTCTGGAAATAAGACTTTTGGAGAGCTCCAAACTCATTCTGTCCTCTTCCATTGGCTGCTTGTTTGCTGGTCTTCATGGTTCCCATAATGGCAAATCTGTGGGGGTTTTTTTTTTCTAATGTTTATTTATCTGAGAGAGAGACAGAAAGAGACAGAGCATGAGTGGAGAAGGGTCAGAGAGAGAGGGAGACACAGAATCTGAAGCAGGCTCCAGGTTCTGAGCTGTCAGCAGAGAGCCCGACCCAGGGCTCAAACTCATGAACCACAAGATACGACCCAAGCTGAAGTCGGACGCTCAACTGACTGAACCACCCATGTGCCTCAAAGCTGTTGGTTTCTAAGGTTTCTGCAGAGCTGGGGGGGGGGGGGGGGGGTGGGCAGGGAGAAGGCAAGCTAAAATGCCACAGTGCTCACTGTGCTCAATGAGATTCAGCCAATTTTCTTAAACAAATCCTCCTCAGATTTTTGCAAGTCAATTTCCTTTGGTCAATTTCCAGAGTTCTGAGAAAATTGATTTTGACCATTTTTGCTGCTGTTGTCACTGCTTTGCTGGAGGAATAGACTTTTCAGAGGTCCTTGCTCCACCATTCTGTAAGTGCTTCTCTTGAGGAAACATTTATAAATATCACCTTGATTCGATTCTTCATTTTTTTGTTTCCTTTCTACTCACATAGTACTCTTTCAGTGAGCAAATCATAAAAATCAGAAGAGAGATATAAGAAAATGTATTTTCTGATTTTTTTAGTAGTCCCCTTGTGTGATGGTGCTACGGAGGAACGTACCAGGAGCCAGGTGGACCAAAGCTGTCTCTTTCCAGAAAATAAATATAAATCCAAAAGTACAGTCTTCCTAATTCTATGTTAGTCACAAAAGGAACTAGGATTGGAGACACTGTTGATAAAGGAGAGCTAGAAAAGCATATGTAACGTTCCAAGAAAAGAGAATTTTTACGTCTGGATTCCCTACAGGGAGAAGAGTGGAGCTTCTAAATGCGCCAGGTATGTGATGATTGCTCCACTCTGGCTTTCACTTGGCCAGCACTGAGCCTGTTCTCAGCAGCTTGCTTCAAGTAGCAGATGCTGAGATAAAGGAGATGCAGAACAGAACCATAATCAGTACCTTCCCCTTCTTGAGCAAAACTGGAATTGGTAAAGGGTCATGCTGACGAATAGCAGGAGATTCATTCTTGGTGAGATCCTGGGCTGCATTCCAGACACCAGTTCATTTTAGGGAGGAGTGGGAAGGAGATTTGCATTTATGACCTCACGCAGGAGCTCCAGCCCCGGAGCATATAAACAGGTGAGTTGTAGGTATTACCCAGTACCGGGCCCAGCTGTTTTCAAACCAGTCAGGACCATGGCAGTCCTGGGCTCCACGCTGCTGCCACTTGGGCTGTTTCTAGGCTTCGGACTGCTGTGTTCTTCTGCCAGCTCTGCAGATGACATTGACAAATGCATATTCTTCAGTGAGGTCGCCACCACTGGCCCAGGCATCACAGCCAATTCAGATGTCTATGACAGCAACAGAAAGTACACAGGTGAGGAGAAGCCGTTCTCTCTGTTGTCCTTTGTCTTCTATGGGGAGTTACCAGAACCTCAGAGCACAGCCCTCCATTCCTGCTCTCAATCACACAGAACATGTGTCTTTGACCCAAATGGGAACCAGGGGCAGAGACAGAAAGAAAGAGAACATGTGATAGAGTTAGTTGGGTGGGGCTGCTTCTGCCTGTTCTCTGAGCAAACCTGAGTCGGGGGGCCATGAAGTCCCAACACCAGGTTAACTGAGCCTCACCAAGAGCTCACCTTGGGGAGCGGCAAATTCTCTGACTTAAAGAAAATGGACATTTGTATTACTTTTGGGGGTGGTATCTGCATCACAGTCTGTAGTATGTTCACATCCATTTGATAAAACAAGGCCCCATGGGTGATGGCACATTGCATGCCGGGAAACGGTGTTCACCTTCAGTGTGTGGGAGGAAACCCTAGTGAGCTAGGCAGGGAAAGTGTTACTATCCCACCTTGTTCATGAGCAACCTAAGGCTGAGAGAAGTGAGGTGACGGCTCAGGGTTTTACTGCAAGTAAGCTGCAGAACCTGCTCCTGAATCTTGGTCTTTCCTTCTTAATCTGATGCTTCTCTTCGAGGTGCCTGGGAACATTCTCCAAATTTCCCAAACCTTGTAAGTCAAGGCAGGTGCTTTCTAGCTACGTTCATAACAACATTGAATACAGTGGTTTTCATGTATTAATGCATTTATTCCTCACAACAACCTGTGAGGCAGGTACATACCACAGTCGTTCCCATTTCATAGATAAGAAAACAGAGGCAGAAGTGATAGTCACTTGCTCAGGTCACAGAGCTTCTTAGGGGGTGGCATTGGGATAGGAGCCCAAGCAGCCTAGCTTCAGCTATCTGGCCCCTAACCACTGCACCACATGCCCCTCACTACGGTACTGAGCGCTGAGACTGCTAACAATGTGCTGGGTACTGTTCCAAGGATAAATGCTATTGTCTTCCCAGATGCGGCACAGGAGAGTTAAAGTTTTACCCAAGGACATGGTAGGCAGCATTGTTAATATCTGAACCCAGGTTAACAGCCGAGATCTGTCCAGCTCCGTTCGGCCAAGCTGTCTGGCTTCAGAGCCTGCTGTCTCATTACTCTGCCATCCTGCTGTCCTAGAACTCGACCTCAGTTCTGTAGGGAGCACCAGCCTGATATCCACACCCATGAACCAGAGTCCAGACATCGGCAGGAGAAGGACCATGGTCTGCCTTCCACACTCATCCGTCTTGTCCTTTCTCCTGTTTTTTTCATGGGGACTGTCACTAAGGGCCTCGGTTGTGACTTGGGTCACTGTATCCCACTCCTTCAGGCAGCGGCTCCTATCCTATCAAGCCAGGGAGGATAATCTTATATTTCAAGACGAGGACAGGAAGGCATTATGTGTGACCTTATCTACGGGGAAGGACTTGTGGGGGGGAGGGTGGTCAGAGAAACAGCTACACAAGAGATCACAGACCCCAGGCTTGAGATAACATATCACAAGGTGAGGGATTCTGCTGCGGAAATGAAAGAAAAAGAAATCTACCTTGTGAAGATGCTGGGGGAGAGACATGTAGCATGGGGCCTTCTGAAAATAGGGAGATGGGAGAAAGAACAGTCAGGAGAGGTTCTTGAGACCCTAGCAAGGGAATACGCTCTGTGAGAGGGAAATCAGGCATTTACAGAGGTGCTGGATAGAGCAGGGAGAGTGGGGAAGGAGGAGAGGAGCTTCAGTTCATTGAACACCTACTATGTGCCGGGCACTTCTCCAAGCTTCATATGACTTCGGCTCAGAACAGAAATGTGCTAAAAGCTCTATGATAAACTGAATCACAATGCAAATGATTTGAGAGTCAAAATCCTATGTTCACAGAGACATCAAGTGCCAGATTCTACACCTAGGATTACAAACAGGCTCCGTGATTTCCTTGTAAAGGTGTCATTGCAGGACTCCACTGGGACACAGGACTTTTGGGGAGACTGGGTAAATACCCACAAAGGCCAATGGCTTCTCCTTATTTTCATCTTGATTTTTTTTTAATTTCAGGGTTTGTGTCAACATTGGCAGGTCCTATATAGACTTGGTGTGTCCCATGGTACAACAGTAGCTCAGGTGGTATCTTAGGAGAAGTTCCCTGGGTCTGCCTCAGTATCAGGGAAAGAAACCCATGATGCAGTGACATTTATATTAAGATTGTGCTGTGTAAGCAATGGCCTCCATTTTTCCCTTCAGTGGGCAAGAGGGATATAACTTATTTGCCTTTTTCCTGCCCCTTCATCTTTAAGGGCACTGTACAACACTTGGTGTACAACTTTTTAAATCAATCAGTGAGTAGTTATCTGGTGCCCTCCAGGTGCCCAGTGCTGGGCTGGTCAGATACTGGCATGGATGAAACCACAGTATATTATAAGCCAGGATGTAGTTATGGACTCAGCTCCACAGATATAAACATAAATGTTTCAGGAGGGAGAGGGAAAGAGGGCTGAACTGGCCCGGAGGTGGGTCATAGGCAGGGTCCTGGAGGGTAAGCGGGGATGCATGATGAGAAGCCAGAGTCCCAGACAGATGATCCCACATGAACAAAGGCCAGAGGCAGGTGCATCTGCAGAGCCAGAAGAAGGCCGGCTTCCCCAAGGGCAGGAGGGCAGAAAGCGCAGTAAGCCAGGTTAGGAGGGTCACGAAAGCCATGTGCTGGGTCCTATAATCAAGAGATGTGAAAATATAACAGCAGAAATGTTTAGATCCTCTAGAAAGATGGGCACTTTGACGCTTTTGGAGAGTACTGTATACAGAAGGATGTGTGTGGGGAATCTGATCTGGCTGCGGCCTGAAGAGAGAAGGTAGAGGCCAGAAACCCAGACCACAGATGCCTGGGAGGGAAGAAAGGAGGCAGGAAGCCAGAGAGAGAGAGAGAGAGAGAGAGCGCGCAAGCTGGCAGAAGCCAGGGCAGAGGGAAGAGCACACCCCCAGCAGAGCTGACAGACTTGGTGAAATCCGCAGGACAGCCCTCACATCTACAACAGCAGGGCCCGTGGGGTTTGGCTCAGCCACCTCTTGATTGACAAAAACAAACAGAACAGAAATGTTTTGTGCTTAAAAATAAATAAATAACAATCACCATTCATCCTACACTCATGTTTAGTCTTAACACTCTTCTCTGTGCTCCTCCCAGGAACCGTATAAGATAAGGTATCATGATCTCCATGTAATGAGGGATAATGTCATTATCCCCAGACATAGGACCAGCCCTGGTGCAAAATGAGCATTCAACAAATAGTTGTGGAGTGAGTGGCGAACAATAAGGAAATCAAGGCTGAGAGATGAAATGACTTGCTCCTAAATGTGAGAACTACAATTCTTTTTTTTTTTAATGTTTTTTTTTGCTTTTGTTTTTGTTTTTGTTTTTCTGAGAGAGAGAGAGAGACAGCATGAGCAGGGGAGGTTCAGAGAAAAAGAGAGACACAGAATCCGAAGCAGTCTCCAGGCTCTGAGCTAGCTGTCAGCACAGAGCCCGATGTGGGGCTTGAACCCATGAACCATGAGATCATGACCTAAGCCGAAGTCAGATGCTCAACTGACTTAGCCACCCAGGCGCCCCCCTGAGAGCTGCAATTCTTATCTAAGATTGTCTGATCCCTACTGTGCTACTGGCTTGATTTGCTATGCTCTGTAAGAAGTCATTGGAGGAATGTGAGTGGCTGACAGGGACCTGGAGAATAACCCTCTGGCACTGAGAAATTCTTTCAGAAGGGATCTTACTATTCTTTTTTAATGTTAATGTATTTTTTGAGAGAAAGAGAGAGCTAGCCAAGGAGGCGGAGAGGGGGAGAAAGGGGAGAGAGAAGAGAGAGAGGAGAGAGGAGAGAGAGAGAGAGAGAGAGAGAGAGAGAGAGAGAGAGAGAGAGAATCCCAAACAAGCTCCATGATGCCAGCACAGAGCCCAGTTCCAGGCCTGATCTCACAAACATGAGATTGTGACCTGAGCTGAAATCAAGAGTCGGGCACTTAACCAACTGAGCCACCCAGGCACTCCTGACAGGGGATCTTCTAAGGGAGCAAATGGACAGACTGAAATGTTCTCTTGAAAGTCCCTTCCCACCCATCATAATGCTGGAATCTAGCCTGGGGTGCACTCACAGGGAAGACTCAACAGGGAAGACTCACCTGATTGGGGAAGGTCAGGAAACCCTAGGGTTATTTGACTGGTACTGGGGCTCAGAGACCCTATCCCTTCCCTCACACTTGACAATAGAGATCAGGAGCATCAGCATTTCTGGGATCAGGAAATGGGCCCTGCTTCGATTTGTCACTAACAGTCCCTTATTTCATGAGACTTCCCAGGGGTCCCACTTGACCCTTTTTCATGCATCAATCACATCTCTCCTCACTCTCCACTTCTCCTGACAGAAGGGGAGAGGGGCTATCCCTTTCATCTGGCAGACGGGAACCTGGCTCCAGAGGTTACAAGCCAGCCAGGAGCCCCCCCCCACCCCCCCCGCCCATTATATAGCAAAACCAGGGCTAGGGTATTGGTCTTCTTACACTGTTTACTGTGGGAAATTAGGAAAAAACAAAAACGCACTAGGAAGAAAGTAAAAATAATCTATCACCCCACTACCAAGAAGTCACAAATAGTCATAAATATCTTAAATTTCCTTCCAGACTTTTTTCATCAACTTCCTTTAAAATAAGACCATATTATATGCACATACTATTTGTAGCTCTCTTTTTGCACACTAGGTTTTGATTTCATGACCTTCATTCCTGTCACGCTGCACAGGTGGCTCACTGTTCCCTTATCATTCCCTCATAGTATGGGTTCCTGTGAATGCCAATATCAGCGCTGTGGTCCTGCGAGCCGTGGATGAGAACAACAACTCACTAGGCCTCTGGGAAAAAGCAGACAAGCTTTGCAACAGCAGCGCCCTGTATCACCTGGAGAACTTGAATGGCAAGCTCTTCACGGCAAACTGGGTTTCTCCTAACTCCACGAACATAACCACAATCGAGCTACAGTAAGAACCCTGTCTCCATGTGATGTGTTTTGGGCTCTGATGGGCTTTTTGTAGATGGGGTTCATGCAGTTTTATGGTGACCTTAGAGGCTCAAAAGGCACCCCAGACATGGTGTGGAGAATTTAGTAGCTATGCTCCTTATCTGCCTCACCATTCTCTGTCCCACTTTTTACCTACAATTCACGTGTACACACACGCACCACCACCCCCACCCCACCCCAGGCAGACTCAACAGACAGGAAGATCTAGCGTTGAAGAAAGCCAGAGCTGGACAGTGGGTAAAGTAAACCAAGCTAACAAACAAATGAAAACCAAATTTATTCAGGACTGTTGCAACAGGAGAAGAACCTAAGATAGAACCAGGCTCGATTTTGAACACCACGTGGGCAAGTGGGAATGTATCGCCAAGGAGCAGGGTGGGGGTCACTGAGAAGAAACAACAAGGCCTGTAAGGAAGATTCTGGCTAAACTGACCTAACAGGATTCTTGCAGAAGGCAGGCCAGGGTGAGAGGTGTTACCTAGAGTGGTAGAGAAGAAAGAACCAGGTATGAGGGGTGAAGGGTGAGAGGTAATTGCCCAACTGACTTTGCAGCATTCTTGCTAAAACAGATTTTACAAGGAAGTGCACAGATAGGCCTGGGAGAAGGTTCTGGAGCCTGACTAAAGTTTGGTTAAGCAAAGAATCTTTATCACTGGGTACACTGTTTGCTTCAAATTCCAGAGAATCATTTTTTAAAAACAGATTCATTTTGGAAACGGCAATTATGATGATTGTGTAATAACACTGGTTTCCTAGTGTCACACAGAATGGACACACTCAGATTCTGAGGCAAGGCCACCTGGGGCCCCTCATTCCACTTTAACAAAACAACCTTCCTCTCAGCAGGGGATGTTACCCAGGTTACTTTAGGAGCCCACGTTGAAAGGCCCTCACACTTTCAGACTGCCACTTTGTACCAAAAGGGCAGGACTGGCCATGAAGCCATGTCCCTCGTGAATAGCCACCAAGTCTGCAGACACTGGTGGTGATGATGCCGTCAAGCCATCCTGCCTTACCCTGCCACGCCCAGGGCCTGATGGGACATGGCTGGTTGGCTCTGGAGAGGTCATTTTGCCCAGGGTAACTTCTGAGAGTGGGAATGTAAGGGAGCTGCTACATTCCAGCCTCCCCATGACAGCAGTCTCTTAGCAGCCAGCCAAAGATAATCAGGGCACTGACTGCTCACACGTCACCTCATTAAAGCCTCCACACTCCACAGTGACCACCTGCTATAGGAACAGCACATCTCCACTGATAGTGTGGTCTCCAGACCCTTCCTCGGTCCACACGGCCGACAGTGGGGGGACCAGCAAGCATGATAGGTGTTCAGACAGCAGGGAGCTCCACCGTGCTGGGTGGGGCCCACGAGGACATGAAGAGGCCCCTGCCCGCGGGGCTCCACAATGAGTTCCGGGCAGGCAAGGCCTCTACAGAAATCATCACAGAGGATGAACATCACTTCCTTCAGAAAGCATTCGCTAAACCCCCAGGTCAAATTCCAGCTCTCCCCTTTTCATCCCCAAAATTTCCACTGTTTCGTCACAACACATAGCAAAACTGAGATCCATTACTTAACTCATTTGCTGATTGCTTTAATTTTTTTTTTCAATGTTTATTTACTTTTGGGGGGGGGGAGGGGCATAGAGGAGAAGACACAGAATCCAAAGCAGCTCCTGGCTCCAAGCTGTCAGCACAGATTCTGATGCAGGGCTAGAACCCACAGGCTGTGAGATCATGACCTGAGCCAAAGTCAGATGCTTAATCGACTGAGCCACCCAGGCGCCCCTGATTGTTTTGTTTAAAGTCGGTCTCTCTGGCACATGTACCCCAATGTTCATAGCAGCACTCTCCACAATAGCTAAAACATGGAAAGAGCCTAAGTGTCCATCAACAGATGAATGGATCAAGAAGATGTGGTTTATCTATACCATGGAATACTACATGGCAATGAGAAACAATGAAATCTGGCCATGTGTAGCAACATGGATGGACCTTAAGGGTGTTATGCTGAGCGAAATAAGTCAGGCAGAGAAGGACAAATATCATATGTTTGCACGTATAGGAGGATTAGGAGGAACTTGACGGAGGAACAAGGGGGAGAAGAAGGGGGGAAATGGTGGGGGAAAGGGAGAGAGGCAAACCATGAGAGACTCTTGAATGCTGACAAAAACTGAGGACTGATGGATGTGGAGGGGAGGGGGGATGGGCATGGAGGAGGACACTTGTGGGGATGAGCACTGAGTGTTATGTGGAAACTAATTTGACAATAAACTATTTGTAAAAAAAAAAAAAAAAGAGAATCTTCTAGATGGTACTAAAAAAAAAAAAAAGTCTGTCTCTCTGGACAGACTTTAAGTGCTGCAAGGGTAAGAACCATGCCTGTCTCATCCATCACTGTCCCCTCAGCACCAAGCACAGTGACTGGCATGTGGTGCACACTCATTAACTGTTGAATGTATGAACGAGAGACTGAGTTGATAGAGAAACCACTGTAACAAGAACAGCACACCAAGGGGTGCCTGGAGGGCTCAGTCAGTTAAGCATCCAATTCTTGGTTTTGACTCAGGTCATGATCTCACAGTTCATGGGTTTGAGACCCCTGCTTGGGATTCTCTCTCTCCCTCTCTCTCTGATCCTCCCCTGCTCACTTTCTCTCTCTCTCTCAAAATACGTAAATAAGCTTTAAAAAGACAATAACATACCAAGTTATACAGGTCATTTAATGAACATTGAGCACCTACTCAATGTGTCAGGCATTGCTGACAACAGAAGCTGGCCCTCCTGTTGCAGGAGAGGCTCACAGCAAGGCAATGCTGTCGAGGAGCAGGTCTCTCTAATGGAGCTGTGTTTGGGTTAATGAGAACAGGGAGACATGACTTCACAGAGGTTACTATTGAGTATATGGACAAATGGGACCAGAACAGAGATCACAGGCAAGACTGGCCTGGACAAGGAGCAGAAGTGCATACCAGCCTGAGGGGAGTTCAGGGTGCTGAAGTTGGTGGGGTGGGGGATGGACAAGAACTTAACTGGAGCAAGACCATGGAGGATCTTAGTCAAGACAATATAGACAAGACCAGTATTTAATGATCTGCTGACTATGCTGTAGAGAACACAAGGTCGGGATCCTCTGGGAAGGCAGAAATGGAAGCAGGACTCATGAATTCCATAACTGAGGTCCTCACCATGATCTCTCATTGATTATTTGCCCCCCACAGAGCCTTCACTATCAATTCCTACAACGTAGCTGCATTTTCCTCTCTGCTACTAAGAAGAAAAGGTAAGTTTCTCTGTGGCCTATTTTACACATCTGGCAGTCATTCAGTCAGCTTGGAAAATTATTCTGTGGGTGTCCTAGAAGACTCTTCTAATCATGCATTATCCAGATGTCAGATGAGTCCCCCAACACCTAAGACCTACAGAAGATGGTTCAACCCCTTATCCGAGGCCCTCTGGGAAACAAAAGTCATTCCCAACTTATCTGCCAACTCCCAGGGGCCTTTACCTCTCAGTCATCTGTGGCGCCAGACTATTGCTTCCTCAGGAGCCATTATGGATAGGAAAGTCAGCTTTTTCTCTAATTTCCACAAAGAATTCCCACTCACACAAAGTGTTCATATGTATAGCAGACTCTAACCAAGGGGCTGAAAAGAAGAGGGGGAGATTTGCATAAAGAATGGTTGATAGTGTAGAAATACTCATACTTTCCTTCATTCTCAGAGTGGCCTCTGGCCACCACCACTACCACCAGAGATTTCCACTGACCTTTCATGGGCTGTCTTCTCAACCTCAAACCATCCTGAAGCTCCTCGTCCTTCTCCTCCCTTCTCTATTCTCTTCCTTCTCTCCTACCTCCTTCTAGGGAGCTAAAACAAACTCGAGACACTGAGGTCCAAGAAAGATGGGTAACTCACCCAAAGCCATAGAGAAAGCAAATGATGAAATTAGGACTCATAGTCCACATCTTATACTTTCTTCCACTTTTCTTAGATTTCCATCAAAACTAGAAAGACAATATTTTATTCCTAATGAAGTTTTAAAATGCAAAGTTCAACCAAGAACAATAAACATTAGTCTTTCTCAGTGTCCAGATAACGGGTCTTCCTTGGGAGCCCCCCAACGCTGAAATACATGCAGCATGATGTCCATTTTCCTGCTGACTGTGCGTTGCAAATGTGGTCACAAGGGATATCTATTTTCAACAACAGATTTTAAAGTTATTCTGCCTAAGGAAACTATTACATGAATGCCTTCACAGCTTCCTTGGTGGTTCCCCTCTGTGGAAATACCAGGGTGTTATTTTCTTCCTCAAGGATAGTTTCAAGATGAACACTCGTGTAAATGCCAAGAAAAAAAGAAAAAATATTTGTTTCTCGTCAGGATTCCTTAAAGTGGTTGTGTTCAGACCTCGTGGCTCAGTGAGATACTAGAGAAACATCTGCCCTGGAGAAGCACTAAATGAGATAAGGCAAGGCCTCTTAGCTGGAAGGCAACCTCCTGCTGGGGGACAGTGCTTGGGCCTGAGCAGATCACGGGATTTCTACCTTCTTCTTCTTCCATATAGTCCTCTTTGATCCACAGACCCTTGGAGGCATCATTACAAAACTCCAGTTTTTCCAGGATCAGACTACCCCCAGGGTCTGGTTCTCTCTGCTTCTCTGCAAGGCAACCTCAGAAAACCCATGGATAGTCAGATCCCTGCATGTGAGAATGACATGTGCCTCTGAAACCACAGAAAGAGATTCAGGTGTTTGGACAGGGCCTCTGCGCTTGCTTTATTTTTTAATTTTTTTACAAATAGTTTATTGTCAAGTTGGTTTCCATGTAACACCCAGTGCTCAACCCCACAAGTGCCCTCCTCCATATCCAATCCACCTCCCCCCAACCCCCCCCCCAACCCGCAGAACAGGGGTAGCCATCCTCAGTCTGGATGGTATCTAGTTTTGTAAGCTTTACGTGAAACCTTTGAAATTAGGTAAGGAAAAAATAAAACCATGCCATTCTGGATGATATTTTCTAATATAACATTAAGGACATGAAGACATGAGGACTACCCACCCAACAACAAATTTGGTAGTTGTATAAATTACTTCCCCATAGGATTGTGTAGACCTTAAGGGTAGAGAATCCTACTTACTTGTGTTTTGTCCCTTGACATTCTGCAACCCCTAGTTTTCTTCATCCTCTACATATACTTGTCCACTAAGAAACGTCTACTGAAGTTTGCTCCAGCGTTCCATCAGATTAGCCTCCTTTCTCTACTGCTCACCCCCACCCTCCCCAGCAAAGAAATTCTGATGCTATTGTTTGTTTCCAGAGATGACCATCTCCCAGATATCCACGACCAGGACAACCCCAAGCCCAAACCCAATGACAAGACACATCTCTACAACCAGAACAACCCCAAGCCCAAGCCCAATGACAAGACACATCTCCACAACCAGGATAACCCCACGCCCGACTCCAAGGACAACCAGCCTGGCCAACAAAACCTTTCTCTGCCCCATCACAAGTGCCATTCAGATCCTGCTAGTCTTTCTCACCAGCAAACTCCTATCCTAGAAGGAAGCTAGGAAAATAATTGTTACTGCCTCCTCTGCATCTCCTACACTGAGTTCCAAGCTAGTACTCTGACAGGTGTGCAAATGAAGACTTTACATTCTCAAAAGTACAACTCTACTGCCACTGCTTTGGACAGAAAAACAGAGACCTTGGGGTCACTTGGTGGAGGGTAGCTAGTTCACTCACTGGTGGACTTGTGGCACATAGATGTTCAACTGGATCTCTCAGGACACAAATTAGGTGTTTTTCTTGTTAACTACTTAGACCTGGTCTGGGTGTAACCTGGAATTCTGGTTCTCGGTTTCACATGCTGACAGCCAATTCCCTGGCCAATGTAAACTTTTGTTCACTGCCAAATGATTCCTCCATGCCTGAGTCTCTGTGGGAAAAACCTTCCCTCACTTCCAGGATGATCTCAGATTTCTGACCAAACCCACTCAGGCTACACAGAGGTTCTATGACTCATGTCACTCAACAAGGAAAGGAGAAAGGAATAGCCCTGATGCTATTGGCCACACCAGTAGCATGTGAAGGGCTAGAAAAAAAGAATGTATCAAGTCTGAGCAACCTAGAATGGAGAATTACTATGGTATAAAAGATATTATTTTTTTTTGTCATACCAAATAAGCTATATTTCAAACAAGAATAATAAATGTGTTACATTCAAATATAAGTCTTTAATGAGTGGTTACTCTAACTTAAAGTACAAAATGTTATTTTTTACTCATGTATGTGAACATTAAAAAAATTTAATAGAGTGGTGGGAGTGTATATGTTTTCAAAGACAGATCCAAGGGTAAAATTTTCCCAATTTTATTTTTCCTCAAGTTACAAACTGGTCATTTTTCCCCCTCATGGTAATTTCCACTAAGAAACAGGCAAAATATTTACAGTATTCATAATACAATGTAAAACCAAAAGAATGCATAGAGTTTCCAGTAATACCCTGCTGATAAGCAACAAACTTTTCTTTTAATAATTATGCTAAATTCCAAGATGCCAACATCCAGCACCTAGCCTTCCTTGGGGACAGCTTCTGTCAATTTCTTCCTCTTCCCTGAGAATAGACCGTGCTTGCCTACTTGTAGGTGTTTTTAACTTTTGTTGAGAACTGGACGTGGTGAAGGTTGTAACATGGTGACTCTGGAATTCAGGCTCCCCCGCGCCTCCCAGGGCATGCTGCTGCTTGTTGAGGGCCTCCGTCCATCTGTTCAGGGATCTCTCAGCTCTTCTGTGCAGACTCCACTCTTTTACTTTTTTTAAATGTTTGTTTGTTTGTTTATTGAGAGTGAGGAAAAGAGCAAGCCAGGAAGGTGCAGAGAGAGAGAGAGAGGGAGAAAGAAATCCTAGGCAGACTTTTAGGCTGTCTGTGCTGTTGGTGCAGAGCCTGACATGGGGCTCAAACCCACAAACCATGAGATCATGACCTCAGCCGAACTTCAAGAGTCGGACACTTAACTGAGCTACCCAGGCAACCCGCAGACTGTGCTCTTTGTTGAGTGTGGTCAGTGATATCTCTGCTATATTATCTCAGCAGTCAGTCAACCTCATAGATTTTCTTACATGTCAACATTTAGCAGCCTCTTTCTTCATTAAGCATTCCTCGAATAGCTGGAAGGTTGTTGTTGTTGTTTTTTAATTAGATCCTAGAGTTTGTGGAGAAAGTTCACTGACATTTTTTGCCAGCTGAATGGGTGCTGCAGTGAATAGACTAATTCATGGAGCTCCCTATTCTGCCTTTTTCTGTGATGTCACTGAGTAGCCACCATTAGTATGTGCCAGGCACTGTGCTAAAGCGTCATCGCAGTTAATCGTCACAACGACCCTATGAAATAGAGCTGTTTTATAGACGAGGATACTCAGGCATAGAGAGAGAAATAACTTGCCCAAAGTCACTCAGTGAATAAGTAGTGAAGCTGGGTCTCGGCCACTTCGGAGCCTGCACCATTAACCAGGACACTCAAAGGGGCCCCTGTGTGGCTTCTGCATCCCCTGGCATCCTCTAGGGCAAATGGGTCCCCAGGGTCGTATGACAAGGAGGGCATGGGAGGTACGGGTGTCTGTCAGGGACACAAGCAGGCTGTGTGCTCCAGCAATCCTCCTCCACGCCCCACTCTGCGGCCACCTGAGATAAACTGCAATGAGCCAAGACCCACTGAGAGAGGAACAAGTTTCGTATTTACCTGTCACAGCCCAGCCTGGCCTCATCTCAGGTTCAATGTGGAAGGTGTGACAATGATTGGAGCCTCAGCAAAAATAGTCTCTCGAGTTGGAAAACTTTGAGACTCGAAGAAATCAGGAGAGCGCTGAACTCAGACATGCAACACAGAGGTAGCTGTGCGGGAGCACTGGTTTCGGAGGCAGGGAAGCCTGTTAAATTCCAGTTCTGCTACTAAGTAAAAGGGTGACCTCAGGTAAGTGGCTTTACCCTCGTCTGCCTTGGTTTTTCATCTGTTACACACAGGCTGGCCCAGGTGGCATCTGAGCCCTCTTGCAGGTAGGTCTCCATTTTGACTTCTTTGTCACATCCAGACCTAGTTCTAAGGGTCTAATCAGAGATGGTAAGTTGGTGCTAAGTAGTGTTGCTTTATGCTACGTCTGACTGATTGGCAGAGGCTGCTGGGAGCACTGTTGAGGAGGACTCTGAAGCAAAAGCCAGGCTCAGAAACTGAGTATCTTGTTCAACAAGTATTATCTTCCTTGGGCTCAGGAGGCAGGACTGAGCAGCAGGGGACTCAGGTATCTGCCGTCTTTGGTCCCTTAGGTGAATTCAGTGAGTGGCTACAGAGCAAGAGTAAAGGGATGATCAAGTACATACATTCAGTCTAGGAACGGCTAACCCGATCGTCACTCCCAGGAAGGTGACTCAAACAAGGAATACAAAGGCATACAGGCAACTCCAAGGAAGTCCACAGGCTGCACCTCAAGCACAGAATAAAGAGTTGAACAAAAGACAGACTGTTTTCACTCCCACGCTCATTTGCCCAATCTTGTTCTTCCACTTTTGTGTTTTCTTGTTTGTGGCTTTGTGTTTTGTGAATTCAGTGCATTCTTTTTTTTTAATGTTTGTTCAATTTTGAGAGAAAGAGAGAGACAGAGCACAAGCAAGGGAGGGGCAGAGAGAGAGGGAGACAGAGAATTTGAAGCAGACTCCAGGCTCTGAGCTGTCAGCACAGAGTCCAATGCAGGACTTGAACTCACAGACCTCGAGATCATGACCTGAGTCGAAGTCAAATACTTAACCGACTGAGCCACGCAGATGCTCCTTTATGCATTCTTATCCTGTGTTAGAAGCAGCAACTACCTACCCACTTAAGGGAAGTGATCATCCATTCTGAGGAAATAGGAGAGAAAACTTCTATCTTCCAAATCCCATTACTTCAAAGACCTTAACACACCAGAAAAAGTCCGAGCCTGGTCAGTGGTTCAGCTATCACAGCAACCATTCAGAGCAGGTAGAAAATCCAGAACAGGCAGAACATTCACACATTATCTTATTATCTATCAACCTCTACATTACTTTTTAAAGTAAATGTTTAAAATATTGATAATTAAGTAAAACTTTATTTCACATGAAAGGTAGTTCAGCAATTGTCTTAGAGCATAAACTCTGAGACCAGACTGCCTGGGTTCAATTTCATTTGATTTTACCCCTTATTAGTTGTGGGGCCCTATACAAGTCACTTACCTTCTGTGTGACTCAGTTTCTTCATCTGTTAAAATAGGGAGAAATACAGTAGCTACCCGTAAGCTGTTGTGGAGATTATATCAGTTAACATACAAAGCACTTGGAACAGCACCTGGCACAAAGCAAGCACTATGTAACGGTTTAATGCCTAGAAAGGGTATTACAAGTGATATACTGATGTACCTGAAAGCCAAATATTATTCCAGTATAAATTTGTACAAATAAAATAGTACTTACAACAAGGTCTAAAAGTACTAATTTTCAATTCTTATAAGAAATGGCCAATGCCTGGCTTTCCACAGTCTTTCTCCCTCTGGCCCCACCTTCACCTCCACACTTCAAGCTTCTAAGTAAAATGTCTCCTAGCACACTAGGTCAGCTCCATTCTCCCAGAGAAACTAAACAATGGGTGAAGGGTTGAATTATTCCACATAATAGAGGGAGGATGAAAAGAAAAAGCAAGTGTATCATAGGGGCTGACATAGAAAGGAGACTCTGGAGACTGAAGGGATTTCCCAACATCTGCTCTTGGTTACAAACCAGTTCTCTCTTAATGTCCTTCAAGAGATACAAATGAAAATTAGAGGGGCACCTGGGTGGCTCAGTTGGCTAAGCGTCTGATTTTAGCTCAGGTCATGATCTCACAGTCAAGAGTTCAAGCCTGGGGCTCTGTGCTGACAGGTCAGAGCCTGGAGCCTGCTTCAGATTCTGTGTCTCCCTCTCTCTCTGCCCCTCCCCTGTTCTCTCTCTCCCTCTCTCAAAAAAAAAAAAACATTAAAGAAAAAAAATACAAGTGAAAATTAGAATTATTTTACTTCAGGTCACAGGACTGTATTTCTTTGACTTTGGCCCAGCAGAGAAATTGGGACATATGTAACCCCCGGGACCCAGTCCTGCTTTATGTAAGTTATATCCATGTATATAGATAGAATGAGGTTAAATATATACACCTGGTAGAAATAAGAAATAATTTAACATATGCAAAAACTACACATTTATCTATGTATATGCATATAACCTGTATATAAAAATAACTTTAGACTCAGATGCTTGAATCCAACAAACTCAAAAAGTATTCGGCTAAATTAACAAAATATGAAGACAGAGCATGACTAAAAACTTGGGAAGATTTTTGAACAGTTACTTTAATTGTTAAGCCTGTTTTTCTTTTTTTATTTTTTTTAAGCCATAAAACCTAGGTTCAAATCCTAGCTCCTTCACTTAATGAGTGACTCTGAACAAGACCCTCAATCTCCTTAGATTCCAGATTTTTCACAGTGAATTGGAGCTGAGCTGACTCATGCTTCAAAGAGCCACCGTGATGGAGATGCTGGACATATAGCGATGGGTGGGATGTTAATTCACAATAAGTCAACCAATGACAAGAACCTTAAGTTAGTTAACTACACAATTTCACATGAAGGTGGAAAACATTATATCCCACAATCTGATTAGGTTGAATTTGTTTCCTTTTCTAAATACAGTTTTCTCCCTCAAGAATGGATTCTTCATGTCATGATCTCTGGGTTCATGACATGGAGCCCCGCGTTGGGCTCTACACGAGAGCGGGGAGTCTGCTTGGGATTCTCTCTCTCTGTCCCTCCCCTCCCTCAAAATAAATAACTAAACTTAAAAAAAGAAAAAGAAAAAGGAATGGTAAGGTGCCTGGGTGGCTCAATCAGTTAAGCGTCTGACCCTTGGTTTCAGCTCAGGTCACCATCTCACATTACATGAGTTTGAGCCCCACATCTGGCTCTGCTCAGACAGTGCAGAGACTGTTTGGGATTCTCTCTCTACCACTCTCTCTCTTTGCCTCTCCCCCACTAACTGTCTCATTCTCAAAATAAATAAACCTAAAAAAAAAAAAAAAAAAGAATGTAGGCTTGACTTTCTTCCTAACACTCTGGGAATTACTCAAAGTTATTATGGTAAAAACACTTGTTTGCTGAAAAATAGGGAATTGCCTCAGTGTTGCTATGAATCTA